ATTTGTCAGTTTTGAGTGACCTACGCTGTATTAAAATTTAGGCGACGATATAGTCGAACGAAAACTGTTAATTCATTTAGTTCGCCAGAGACGGGCTAGCCATAAACGCAATATATTGCTATTTTTTTACTCCTTTGTATAATAATGAGTTTAATCTGATATTTTTGCAAATTGGGATGTGCCTCGATAGATTTAGATTTAGATTTATTTCTATAATATCAAGTGGTGGCGAGCCTAACTGGACTAGCGCTTTTATATGTCCTTGAAAATGTTCATGTACGGAAAAAGCCATGAATCGATTTAGAAGAAGACAAATAAATAATTATTTTTATATTGTTAAAGTTTATAAACTTTCCTTTTAAATTAGATTTATTGTTAAATCACATTTAGGCTACACCATATGAGTACACAGGTAGGGTCAAAAGTGTTGATGAAGTTTAGGTAGGCATATTCGCATATACAAGATTAAAATTGTTCAATCCTGATATCGTGTAACGCCGCCACTGCTCACATGTAGGATGAAAAAGAGGAAAGCAGAGCAGAAGATACGCTCTATCCGTGTATAGCTATCAACAAGCTCCGGAAAAATTTACTGTAAACGCGCCGTAACAATGTTACGATGAAGTAGGAAAAATATTTTCTGATTTAATTTATCGACGGAGCAAAAGGAGAACGCAACTTCCCAACTTCGTTCTACGCTTGCTGCGGAACGAATAAGATCATGACATAAAATCGATGTTCTCCCGCTTTCGGATGCTTATACAGGGTTGACCATATCAAATTAAATACATCTGTAACGGTTTTGACATAATTATAAAAAAGAATCGACTCTTCGCTAGGAAAAAAATCCTTGGTGACATTTGTCATCATAAGAATACTTGTTTGCGTTAAACAGTTTAATCTCCTAACTCTGGTCTGGCTGAATGAGACCACATATGTTTAAAATTCATCCTTATTATACGAAGTTTTGGTGTCAATGATGGGTAAGTACAGTTGACAATGAATTTGTTTTTACCTTTCATTTTCGCGTTCCTATACAGTGTGTTACTACCATAGTCTGAAAGGTAACATACTGGGATTGCATCATTCCAATTTTAAGATTGCAGCTCGCAAAACCAGTAAAGTCTTGGACCACCTATGGTTGGCATTCCCGTTTTCAAAAGGATGTCCAGCCCTAGAAGGCGACAAGCGATCATGATGTTACCTGTCGTTTTTTAATGTACCAGACTCTCACCCTGTTCCATTGCTGCGAAAACGCCAAAACGTCCTCCGAAAACGTGAAACCCACCCAGAACTGTTGTGACACACCGGTTAATTGTGATGCAATCTCCAACTAAAATGCTGCATGTGCATTGGAGGTCTGGAAGTCTTTTTGAGAACGACAATGCGTACCGCAGGTGGTCATGGGATTTGCGCGGTTCCGTCTTAAAATTGGAATGATGGCTCCGCGCAATCCCAGCATGTTATAGGATCTTTCAGATTTTTTTTACACTCAGGCAGGAGCCTAAATTCCAGGACTGCTGCTGCTATCATGATCACAAAGACATTTTGTTAGTCCGATTTTTGAACTGCCTAAGGTTAGTAGAACTAGGAAAAGCTTCATCTTGTAGACTGTCCCACAATCTCGATACTCTCGGAATAAAGGAGCGGTCGTAACAGCCAGTTCTGGATGTACGAAGTTCGACACGGTTGAAATGGGAAGCCGAAGTCCAGCGGAAAAAAGTACTTCTTAGCCCTAAGCAAATAGCCCAGCTTCTTCCCAGCAGCTGCCGCCATTGACGAGATGCGTTCATGCCAGATAAACTCGTCGGTGATCTGGACTCCGACCAGCCGAAATAAACGGCTCTTTGGCACAACTCTGCCATTCATCGAAACATTTTTTGTTCGTCAAGGTACAGTACTGTGTTTGAGAAGCATTAACCTGAACAAGATTTTTGTGTCCCCAAGAAGTGATAACCTCCAGATCTCTCGTCAGAGACGAAGTTGCTGCTGGTCTTTTTTCCAGTTCACCGGTAGAGATCGGCTTGTTGCTCTGAATTCATGTATGTAGAGGGCTGTCATCAGCAATGCTGCGGTTTGGTTTGATCGTACAGGAAAGGGACAGGTCGTTGATATGTAAGAGGAATAGTGTCGCAGCAAGATCGATCCCTGGGGAACATCTGCGTTGACGTTGTGGGATGAAGAGGCGAACCCATCAATTACGACCGATATCTTGCGGATAGAGAGCCAGCCACCTACAAAGCTTCTCTGAGAGGCCATAGGATGGAAGTTTGCACAAGAGAGTAGCATGCCACAGCTGATCGAACGCTTTCGTGATATCAAGAGCAACGACATGAGCGTTACCATAAGACTGGATGAGTTTACTTCACAATTGCGTGACTTATGCTCCTCTCCTAACTTATAACACACAGCAGAGCCTCTAGTTGTAAGGGTCGACCTTAGATCCCTTTTTTGGGATGGGCTGGACATGAGCAAATTTCCTGTTTTCTGGGAATATACCGGGTTCATAAGATATCTGGAAAAGACGCGAAAGAAATGGAGCAAGCTGCGTTGCACACATCTTCAATACAACGGCAACAATCAAGTCTGGACCAGAAGCTTTGATGATGTCGAGAAACAAGAGCACCCGTATTACGGTCTTATGCCTGAACGTTACTTTCCGCTTAGTGTAGGGAGCCCTTTGAATCCACAGCACTCGGGCGTTGGAGGGGGGGACGTCCATGGTGGAGTTGGCAGCAAAGATCTTGGCAAGCTGGCAACACCAAGGTCAGCCTCTCCAGACAGGTATGGCGTTTGTTTTGGTTAATATCCAGATTATCAACGCTGATGCTTTCGGAAAAGTGAGTATAACACATAAAGCAACACTACCAGTAGCTGTGGTGGTATAAGTGAGATGTATTGTGACTATTGTGGCAGATGCAGAAGTTCAGGAGACTTTCATGTCATAAAGTGCTACAGGGATTCAGCTTGTTTGTAATCCTTGTAGTTGGTACCGTTATATAACAAAAGATTTTTTTTTTTGTATTAACCAAGACATGGTAATATCGGTCATAAAGCCCTAAGCTTTATAAAGCAAAATTCTGCCCATCTAGGCCAACAAATTAAAGGCAAATTAGTGTTTCAGGATTATCCAGAAGCAATTCAATGAAGTGAGAAACCTGTGTTTTGCAACACGCAACATGCCAACCATTGTCAACAGCATACTATGTTTTGAAACTAAATATATTTTGTGCTTCATAAATAATTACTGTTGTATTTTATTATTCCGAACCTTGTCTCAGTAAAACTGCTTAAAGAGATATTACCCCTTTTGGGGATATTTTATGAATATATGTTCATGAAATAATCCTTCAATATCGGAATTATCATTTTCAGCAGATTTCAAATTATGAACAAACGAAATCCCCGGCACATTCCTAGCATTCTTTCAGTAGTTTCTCCAGATCTCCAGGCAAGTAGGCGGCGCAACCATATGACAAACGACAACGGTGTTGTCATCGTTTAACGTGCAGCTCCCACTTCTTCAGTATTATGTGTTTTGTGCGTTGGATAATTTCAGTTATCGATGAATAGACAGCGGTCGCATCCGCGTCAGCGAAACAACCATCTCTCCAAGGAAAGGTATAGAAGAAGTCTCTGAGCCCCTCCCAGCCGGCATGCCAAATTAAAAAAAATACTATTGTAGTAACACGCTGTATATGAATTTGAAAATGAAAAGAAAAACAAATGAAGTGTCATCTGCAAGACAGATAGATAAAATATGTTAAAAGTGTCAATTGTACTTGAAGAATGTTACCATAGGGACCAACGAATTTATTCTAGGTAGACTAATTCTGTCTGTAATGAGTGCACTTGACATAAGTAAATTTTTTGACAGTTCTGTGATTAAAAAATAACACTTAGTATTATTTATCCGAAGTGCGAGTTTTATATCGTCTAATACCACAATTATGTGGTATTAGACGATTTCAAGACGGATCCTCATAAGCATGATGAAGGTATTATTATGTTGATACAATGCTGTCACTTTGGTCGGCATTGGTAGACAAATAAGTCAAAAGTATGCACTAAAACTACTGAATTTTGGCGACAATGTAATGTAAATATAAGGGCCTGGCTCCTTTTATGCTATTCGAGTTCTATTGAATAGACAGAATAAGGTTCAAAAGTTACATTATCCAATAACGTTCATAATAAAAAATGAAGTACGAGCCCCTTCCCACTTCAGTTGGACCAACTATTGAAATCTTAGTTTTTTCTTATCAAACACAAATAATAAAAATGTAGCAGGGTGTTATAGGTTTAAAATATTAACAATGAATATTTTGATAATATATAGTAAAAAACACCAACTTTATCAGTCCCCAATCAAATTTGCAGCATAAAAATAACACATGTTGCAATTACAGCATATCAACCTATTTTCATTTCAATGCAAAATAAGTCTATAACGCATAGGTGGCTGTGAAAAATAAAAGCCATGACAATTGTTTTTATTAATCACAGCTGTCAGAATACGTTTAAAATAGTTATGGGTAGTTAAGGTTTTCAAAATGGGTAGAGGAAAGATTATTAGTGAGAAAAGTCAGCTACTGATAATTAAATTTTTTAATTCTGGGAAATGAAACTCAGAAATTGCAACTTTATTGGACTTATCGCGGTACAGTGTGAGCAATATTGTTAGAAGATATAACGTAACCGGTTCAGTTAATATTAAGAGACGATATGTCAAAAAAGTAATATCACAAAAAACAGCCGTGCCAATTATTTACAATTAAGTGCTCTGTGGAGTGACGCTGTTAGAAGGAGAATTTCGAGGTCCACAACTCATAGAGAGGCCCACAAACTGGGATTTAGCACTTGCAAGGTAAGTTTTCTTATAAAAAAAAAGTGAAGTAAAAACCCTAAAGTTGCAGAACCTATTTATAGGAAAAAGAAAAGACACTATTAACTCCACTGCAAAAGAAAAATCGGCTTAGATGGGCTCAAGAACATAGACAACGGACACCTCAACAATGGTGTGCAATACAATGTAGTGATGAGGCCCGATTCGAAGTTTGTGACAGTCGCAGTAGAGTTATTCGTCTGAAGAGAAAAGTGAAATTTCCAGCATTCATTATGGTCTGGGGCAGTATGTCATCAAAAGGAGTAGGAAAACTTCATTTTATTGATGGAAATGTGGATACAAACAAATATTTGACAATTTTAGGAGAATCGCTTTTACCAGTGATGGAAGAATGTTTGACATCCGGCCAAGATTTTGTGTTTCAGCAAGATGGTGCAGCGTGCCATACCTCAAAAAAGGCTATAAAATGGGTTTCTAGCAGTCCAGATCTGTCACCTATTGAAACTTTGTGGCAGAGATGAAAAAGGTTCTACGACAACATCCTGCTCGTACAATCACCGAACTGAGACAAAAGCTTCAAGAAATATGGGATTGTTTTACACCAAATTTTTGCCAATACTTGGTTAACACTATGCCCCAAAGAATTTCAGCCGTAATAAAAAATAAAGGTGATGTTACTCAATGGTAATCTTTCAATTGTTGCTTTGTAAACTTCGAGCATTTATTCGCACATTGTTTATTTGTTCAGATGTTCCATTAGTTATAGGTCAAAGTTATTTCAAATATGTATGTATTACTTACGACTAGAGTGTATCTAAAATGTTTTTGAGAAAATAAATTGTTTTAGAAGTAAATAGTTTCGTCATGTTTAGTTTATAAAAGCATATTTTGGTACAAATCTTGAAGTGGGCCAACTGAAGTGGGAAGGGGCTCGTAGACGATTGTGGGCGAAAGACGAAGCGTCACATTCAAATTCTAATTATACTACAAAGCTGTTTCATCCTTTGTCAAAATCCAAGCAGTACATTCCGAGTTATAGATGAGCCAAGGACAGGCAGACCGACGGAAATCATGGTTTCTTGTGATCTGCATATCATATCTTGATCTCGAAATTCTTTGCGATTGCAATACATCCTCGCCGGTTGGAGTAGCATGTAAAACCATACATCAACTAATGGAAATTGACACAATTAAAAAATATCGATAGGTTAATATATCCTATCTCAGCATGTCCATTCGCGCTAAAGCATATCAAATGGTCTCAAACCTGAACCAGTCCAAAGAAGTTTCTACCAAAGGGATTAACCATTCTGTTGCGATCCGGTTTATACACATTCAAAAAATAAAATGGCAAATTAAATATATATAATCAGCCATAGAATTACTATTTAGATTTCACAATTTTATTTTTATATCACTTTAGGACAGTACTAGAAAATACATAGAAAACAAGGTGGCAAATTCATAAACTCACCATTTGCATTTGATACACAACTAAATATTTTTTTATCAACAAACAATCAACATTTAACAAATGGCATTTGATACGCCTTTTGCGAAAGCCATAAAACAGATGTTGAGCTAGTAATTATCTCAATTATCAATAATAATAATAGCTGTTACCAAACAAAATATCTACGTATAGATTCAAAAGCTAGACATGTTGCAATGTGCTCTAAAAATACTGTGCAAATATTTATGTATCATAAGACATTGACACTGTTTAATTGGATGGCCCGTCCATCCATGTCTATTTCAAGTATTTTTTGCGCCGATTGAGGATAATAAAAATTCGTCATTTCAAGTTACATATGTTATCGGACAAACCCGAGTTTATGATAAACTAGTTTTTCCTAGGCCAAATCAGTTTATCTTACGAGCGATAGTTTATCCTGAAATAAATTAATTATGATGAATAAATTAATAAAAGGTAGCTGCTTGGCTTTGGCTCGTTTAGTTTGCACGCGTATTGTGCCGTTATTCATAACCCAGACATTTTGAAATATTTTGTGTTGTTTGATCTAAAGTTCGGAGTGTATTTCTATATCTCCTTATCATGGATGAGTCATCATCAAGTTGATACGTAGGTCAAAAGAGTAGAGGCAGACATTCTGGAAGAGATTTTAAGATCTGAGGACGAAAAATCAACTCATTTTAATGTTTTGACAAAGGAAAAGTGTTTGGCACTTATACAACAGGTGGAAGAGACTAAAAAAACGGAAAAGAAATCACCCTTGCAACAAAGAAGACTGAAAAGATTTGATATGGTGGAAAGAAACTTACCGCACGAGATGAAGAAAATACAAATAATATAAAGTATTATCTCACCGCCGATGAGTTATATGACATGGGACATGGTGGTCCTGACAGAATATTGGCTGCATCCACCAACGAAAGTTGGAGATAACATCATCATACCTACTCCTGATCTAGATAGGGCTAAAGGAGATCTTCGGAACGTTATTGGAGTTGTGCTTGAAGCATCTGATAACGGATTTTATAAGATTGGCACCAAGCATGTTATCTTACAAAAATTGTATTGCAGGTAATTGTTTATTTAGTTGCGGTTTTCATTTTATTTAAATTGAATATTTTCATTTCAGAAATGAATTCGATATCTGCGCACAAAAGTTTTTGTTGGAAGAACATACTTGCACTTTCGTTAAAAACATCAGCGATCAAACATTCAGTTGGAACAGGCCAAGGTTTCTTTAAGTGTAGTTGCACCATGAAGTGTACGTCAAATCGATGCCTTTGCAAGAAAAATAACGTTCTCCGCAACTCGAAATGCCACAATAGTTTGACATGTAATAACAAGTAAATAATAAAAGTTATTAAACATGTTTATAATAATAGTATTTTCTTCACTTAGTAGTAAAAACATTACTTTTGTGAAGAGACTGTATGTAGACTAGGTCAAATCAGTTTTGCCTCATGACACTTAATTGATTTTAGGACAAATCAGGTTAGACTAGGATACAATAGTTCATCCTATCGCTTTTCGGATACACTGATTTGGCCTAGGAAAAAAACTATTTTATCTTAAAATCGGGTTTGCCCGGTAACATATATGTCCATTCATAACAGTTGATCATTTAAAATCGAACGGCTAGTATTAAAAGCACCAATAAAAATTAAGTTGCATATGCTGAAGACGTAATGTGTCTTGCGTCACTTTTCCGCTCTTCTCAGAAAAAGAAATTGTGGCTGAAATAAAAAGACATATTTGCACAATATTCATTAAAGGACATCTATAGAAAAAAATAAAGTACGTTGAAGCGTAGACCTAGTTTAAAGAATGCTTGAAAACCAAATTTTTGTCTAAAATGCAATAGATTAAATGCAAATGAATGGTGCGCGGTTAAAAACTGAGGCTCTGTCATAGAAAGACTACAATAGACTGATATGGCTTTGTATAATGGCATCTACGTTACTTCCTTTCTTAAATATATATCATGGATATTCAACAAAATATTGAATATAAAAAGAATACCATAATGACGGTGGCACTACATGACGCACAACGGGCAGCTGAAAGTTAAAGTAAACTCGACTGATCTTTTTCCATCAAGTAATGACCTTATACCATTATTGCAAGTATAACCTAATGAAAGTACAGGTCAAAGTTAGCTGTCTCTAAAAGTCAAAACTAGAATAGCTTCGATTTTTCTGATCAATGCAAAACCTGAATTGGCATAAGGTACATTTTCTAGGAAAACAAACTTACCTATATAGGTTGTGTAAACTTTATATTTCTATATTGTGACTACCTACTTAATATGTTGCTTTGATATGATTGTTATATAGCGGGAGTAGTAACAATTCTATAGAAAATGGAAGACTTAAAAATACCGCTAGAACTTGGTAGATAAATTCGCCAGTATAATTTTCTACAATAGAACTTTTTCAAAACCCGAAAACTGGACTAAGGTAGAAACAAGTGTGGATAATATAACATAGATAGATGTATAGTAACTAGGAATAGATGAAGAGAATAGTTAACAGTACATACTTTCTCATTTCTGTGGTGTTATTATAAATATGCAAAAAGAAAGTGTTGACATCAAACAGAATTAACACAAATCGTACCAACTTTCACGCCGGTCTACAGATATTACTCCCGCGAAACATTTTTAGTTATATGAAGAAGAAGAAATGGATGTTTCCGAAGTGAATAAAACAGTCTTTCTTCTTTCTTTGGCAGACCTCAGATACCATTCTCAACAATCAACAACTAGAATAGTTAAAATTCCTATAATATAATAATAAAGTCAGACGCTGGGAGGCGGTGGGGGTGGAGGTTGTGTCGGTTTGTTCAAGGTCTTCAAATGGTGCACGTTCATACCTGCAAGGATAGGTTTATTACATAGTATTCGAGAAAGCACTAAAAATAATTTTCAATGGACCAAGTCAGGTTTTTGTGTGAAATCGTTTTCCATTGAAAAGCTGCTACTCTCGTAACTCGTAACAGTGTTAACCCAGTTAAAGATTGAATAACTAAAGTGAAAGATAGCTTTTTCAATGGAGCAACCAGCTTTCGATCAGACATCACTTACTCCAAATTCAACGATCGGTCAAGGCACTTTGAGGCTGAAGACAAGGCAAAATGAATATTACTAGTCGCTTTCATTTTGCCTGATTTTTCAGACGATCTCACATCACTCTTGACAGAGATTTTTAGCTCACTTGGTTGAATGTTTTACGAAATTGTGTTGCAGATTAGCTTTACACCGATAAAAAAAATAATTGACAAGTCAAGGATGTGAAGACTTCACTTTCCTGGGTTGTGTGCTGTCATTCCGGGAAAATCAAATTTGTCTGACGGCTTGAGTTCAATGTGTACCAGAGAGAAGTGCGAGAAGTGTGTATCAACAAATGTGATAAATAGATAGAAGCGGGCTGAAGAATGAAGGTCATCACCACATTGCCTAGCAACGGTAACGCAGAAGGTCGTGCAATCTGTCGCGTTGCCAATATGTTATTCCAGCAAGTGTTCACACAGGGTTACAATAGGTTAGGTTACTGTCAAAGCCAAGAAAGTCTATTCGAACATATAATTTGATATTTTGTTTTCTTTTTGATTAGAATTGTTTATTTCAATTTTGATGGGACTTAGTGATTTGATTTATTTTAGATTATCTTTGATTTACACCGATGGTGTTAAAATCAACACATACTGTCGCAAAATGTCACAAATAACGTTACGCAATAAAAATCACTGCCTGCGTGTACGCAGGTGAAAGCCATTTCGAAGCAGGGCGGCGCTCTCATACGAGGGCTAGATGAGTACTGACCAAAATCGGCCAACTATGATAATGGAGTTGAAAACCTTGAATTGGAATTTACAAGATGCGGTGTTATGAAACGAACCAATGATGCGATCTTGCAGAATTTATGGCGATCCTGACCTTTCATTTCGACCTAAAATGGAGAGCGATTAGGACCGATCGGGAGTCTATCCTAAACAGATTGGACACAATTCACAATACAAAAACGTGCAAACTAAAAAAAAAAACATTATTTGGGTGTAAAGAATAAACTAACGCATACTTTCAATATGCAACTTAATTCAAGCAACTGGTGTAACATGTTGGCTTCTATCTCTTTCTAACATATGTGTTTATACACACTTCTATCTCATACACATCAAACTCAAGCAGTCAGACAAATTTGGTCCTCATTGTATGTCATTTGTGTGACTGTTAAGAGTCATCTCAAACACAATTCACACAATGGTGACGTAACTACGCCATAATTTGCAAGCCTACGTTCCCAAAGGAGGACTGTCCACACTATCATGGATTATTATTACGACATGTCACTGACTCATAAGTAGAATGCCTTTCATATTGCAAGAAGCCTCGTACGTTAGTTCCAAGCGAATAAAGTCTTAATGTCTGTTTTGCTGACATAATAATAATTAGTCTTATCTGCATATGCTGCTTCCGAATATAGAATAAAACAATGTAGAAAACCTTGGTGCAACCCACACGGGATCCTTTCTCCTCACTCTCATTTCCTTTCTACGCTACGACTTCCTCACATTTGACTGCTGGAGATCGCAACGCGAAAAATTACCCAAAGCCAAACTGCATTTCCCCGACGTCCGCACGGTAGTTTCCGGGCGTCCGCTTCTAAATTAGAGATGTGATCTGATAGAGCCGGATCAAAAATAGTAATAACACTTTCAAGGAACTTCAAAACGTTGCTAGATTATATAGGCTAAAGTTTTTTTTACTGTTTTAAACATGTAGTAACAGTGTTCAAACATGTTTTTTTTTCAGCTAAATATGAATGTTTTAAACAAAAAAAAACAGTTTTAAACAAAAAAACATGATTTTTGTTTTTTAAAAACATGTTTTTTTCAACCCTGGTTTCAAGAACACAAGTATTCCACTGGCGAAATTTTTATCCATGGAATGGCAAAAACCTCAAGAGACAGCGGAAAGCCAAGATCAGTCGTTCTACAGGAAAAGTTCTTGCAACGGTATTTTGGGAATCCAGCGGCGTACTGCTAGATGACTTCCAATTTTACAAATACATCACACCACTTGCAATAATAGACACATCAGTACCAAATAGGAGGTATACAAAAAGAAGACAGACAAGGCTAATAAAATTAGAGAGACGGACAGGCCAAATCAATTTAAAGTGAGAAAATTGCATATAATCACTTTTATTTGGCGAGAGATCGATGTGGTGTTGCCAGATAGATAATTCTTTTTGGATGAGTCCATTGCCCATCACTTGTAGCGAGACATTACGTATTTTTCGATGAAATTTACTTTTGTAATTGTTGTACGTTGGAAAATATTGATGCAAGTGTATCGATGCTATGGGATATTCTAACGATTATTTTCCAAACATATTCTAACAATTGGAACAGAATGGGTCCTGAATCAAATATTTTCAAATAGCATTATGCAGGAACTACAGAGAATCATTAAAGTTCCCTATTTAGTGTGTAAGAGCGCGATAGAGAAATGTGTACGAGAGCGAGACCGCGAATGAAGCCACCACAAACTCGTTGGCCTTGGGTGTCGAACAGACCTCATTCGCGCCCTCACTCTAACATAGGTGTTACCCTATCTGTCTCTCTCATACACATTGCTCAATGATTCTCTGCAGATTTTGTATTTTCGGAAAATGGATGTATGGAATATGCAACAACAGCGCAACTTTGTTACTTCATTCAGATCATTATCAGTTTAGTAGTATGCAAATATTTCTGGCAGTTTGGCAAAATGCTGTTTTCGGTTTCACGCTCATAGATGGCCCTGTCCTTGTTTTAGAATGTGGTAAAAAGCGACTAGTAATGCACTGCACAATCAATTTAAAGGGATAAGGCCAATGATTGCGTCCGACAAACTTCAAAGGTATTCATCGCGGTGTCCCGTCTTGGTATGCCTATACATTCTCTTTGGCAGCATCATAAAAATAGGTCTATCCACCAGAAAAAAAATGTCACTTCTATCAAAACAATGTGATGAATAGTAATTATTTTCACTTACCACAGTCTATCAGTCCACCATCCGACCTAGTCCTAGCGTGACTAGACTTCTGAGGCTTACTACTATTACTGTTACTATCACAATTTGGGTTAGGTTCGGGGTTGACGCTACTGAGTTGCTCGTCAGACTTGTGAATGAGGTTCTTTTCCGGTGACCTTCCTAACGTCATTGATTCAAACTTCGTTTGCAACTCTGTATGCTTTAATTTTTGGTTGTTTTTGACCCCCAAATCGATGGACCTCGGAAGGGGTTTAGGGTGCTCCACCTTTGGTTTAGTTTCATTTTCAATGTGCTTTAGAGGTGGTTTGCCGTTATCTACTGTCATTTTAGTGTCAGCTTCGATCAACTTTGCAGTGTCCAATCTCACGTTTGATTTCGCCTCAGGGTCAGAGGGTCTTGGAGGTGGTTTTCCGTTATCTATACTGATTTTACTTTCACTGTCGGTCGGTCTTATTTCTGGCATTGGAGTATCCAATCTTACGTTTGGTTTTATCTCGAGGTCAACAGGGTTTTCTTCGTATTTTACATAGGATTTCATCGCGATGTCTGTTTCTATTGCATCAGGTTTTACGTTGTCGACCTCCGTTTTTGATTCAATATCTGAAAATAGATATCAATATTTAAATTTTATCAAAGGAATCCGAGAGATACACTAATAAGGTGCAGGGTATGCTTTTTAGTATTGAGAAGTTATTAGAAAAAATTTATAGGGGACTTTCGTAATTTATTCGTGTGTATTACATGTCCATGATTTATATTAATTTTTGCAAGACTCAAGATAATATAATTTGGATTAGGTATTCCTATGCCTTCCCAATGCAAATAATTTTTTTTACTCATACTATCCATCAGCTACATAATTTGAATCTTTTAACTGAAGAGCGATAGAATCCTGAACAGATATATTTTCATTACTCTCGCCATTTATCGACTTCTCTGACATTTTATCCTTTTTCAAAGTAGAAAATTGAATGGAATTTTGAAACCATTCGTCCGAGTGCCGAATGTCCATTAAAAATAATAAGAAACACATATTACTCAAAAAAGAATAACTTTACCAACAATCATAATTAACACTTAAAATTTATAAGAGGTACGATGTGATTAATGACAACGATTTTTCAGCTGTTGTGATCGGTTGCCCCGCCTTGCTAAGCTTATCCTGATTTTAGATGTTGCGCCCAATACACGAACTTAAATGAACAGCTGAGCGGACTAGAAGGGTTTCCTTGCTCAAAGTGGATCTTCCAATCTAAAATATGCCTTGGCTTTGATAACTCGATAGTCGAGTATCTCGAAATTAATGTTTAAAAAGTTTAAACATTTGAAATACGGAATTTTTGTATAATTGATAAGAATATGATATATAACTTATAATAATGATTTCGTGATCGCTGTACTCAAGTACACCAAATAACATTAGGATTGCTTTTTGAAATAGAATTTAGAAAATGCGAGTTATTCGCATAGTCACTACCAAAAGTTATCCGAAAAAGTTAATACTTGATATTTGAAGATACACTGTTGTGAGATGTTACTTTATCTTTTTTACCACACTGGCGTGGTGCAACAGAAACCCAATTTAACGACTACGTTGCAGTAGATTCGAAAAAATTGTCTTCCAATATCTTTTAGGGCAGCACATTTTCTCGATTATGTGCGTTTAAAGATTACGGCCATGGTTCAAGAGGAACAAAGAAACACATCGCCGCTTTTGAAAAAAGGCTCTAACTCTATATACTGCTACTGTGCGACGCTAGTTAAACTTTTTCAATTCTGTTAGTTTTGTTAACTGTTGTAAGTTTGCTGACCACATGTCGTAACCTATCACCGGCAAAGAGCGGTGACCAGCATGGGTATTACGTACTTTTTCTTATCCATTCATTAGAAAATTACATATGCAAATTTTCTCAATTTAAGAAATGAGAGAGGTAAGAAATAATTATATTCACTGTACACTGTCGAATTGCAAGTCATATACATGCTAACAGTAATTAAACATAACGAGGGCGCGGTGGTGATTTCCCGTGATTCTCAAAGTTTTTGAGAACACAAAAAACGTAAAAAATCGTGATTTAGAACTTTGAGCATAACATGTCCTCAGAAAGGACAACATACATATAAATAACCCATCGGGCACAGCTAATAGATATATTTCATTGGCATCATATTCAGTAATGATTTTCTCACACAGCAAATATCACCGATTTTATACACATGCAGACCAATACACATCAAAAAGATGCGATCTTGCTATTCAATCAACTAACTTTCTTCTCAGAGATGAAAACTACAGACTACTCGGCCTCACAAAACATATGCAACCAACAATGCGTGTAGTTGAGTCATTCATCCATAGATGGACGCTCACAACGATCCTAGTGAGCAAACGTGAAATGACTGCACCCTAAAGACTCCGTAGTCTGCAAGATGACATATGTTTTTTTGACGTTTTATAGGTTTTTTACATAATACCCGTGTGGATATTCCGTGTTCGGTAAGCTAGCATCATTCGTGGCATCCCTAATAATGAGATCTCATAGCTACTATGCTGTTATGTGTAGCTAGTATAATGTGATTGCTATCTGTCAACCAACGATCATCGTCTCATCTAGTCGCAGGCGATGGCTTTCAATCTCATTAGCACGGCATACATCTAGAGCAGATATTAGACGTTGTGAAATACATTGAAAATGCGATGAACGCGACAGGTGTTAAGGTTTTAGGCAAATGCACGGGTGGCATGAATCATCTAGCCTCACCATAAACCTAAGGTTTAGTAAGAAGGAAACGACGCTGTCAGAGACCGACTGGGATAATGAGCAGGAAACAGTGGTAAAACGTACTGCATTAGGATTTTCAAAAAATAAAGGATTCAACAAACCAACAGAAAAATAAGTTTCAATTAATGTACTCACCTCTACTACCCTGCATCTCGGTCGCCACATTCTCATTTTCTACCGCTTTAACCTTATGCCCGAGAAACTTCTCCTTCTCGCCAATATTATTATCATGTCCCGGCTGGAAGACTTCATGCTTCTGATGTATGTTGATGTAGCTGGGCTGCTGCTTGTTGGCCACGTTATACACCGAGCATTGCGTTCGTTTGAAGATATCTCCGTCCGCGGATCGCATCATCATGTTCAGCGATGATGGTCTGGCGGGTACGACCGGTTTTGTGTCTGGGTCTTTCCGCCTGATTTGGGTTGTATCCATGGTTTCCGTTGTCTTAGCAGATTTTTCGATACGGTTGTCGTGGATCACGGGGTGCACAGCGCTTGATATGTACCTAGAAAAAAACTTACACTGAAAACACCAACTTCTAAAAATACAGTAGCAGACATTCAAATATATATTATAATCAATGGTATATATTTAAACAATGAACGATTTCATAAGGATCCCATTTAAATTTTGCAAAATGGAAATAATTAAAGTAACTGAAACTACATCTAGCTTTTTTTCACTGGCATGTATCGGTGGATATCAGTGCTCAAGTTCTTGTAATACTGGTGCAAGGAAATGTCCAGTAAAGAGTAATCGTGTGGAAACAAAACCAGTCCACAGTTATTATTTTGTCAACTGTTCAACATCCTATTTGAATTGGTTAGTGCAAAAATGCATATCATAATGAAATAATTCATCGGATACTGGTTCTGTTTTTGAAATGGCCAATCAAAGTCCCGAACTTACGATGTTTTTGCACATAATGTGTATCAAGTAGTGTTATTTGAAGGGGAAGGACGGTAGTGATTTACCACGTGTATACCCAGAATAAGCAGTACTCATCCCGGAGGAAAGTTTGAACAGGAAATATACGGAAAAATATGATGTATGAAATATGCCTAATAGATGCGTAATATTACCGGGGTTGGAAACATAAATTGCTAGCATAAAAAAATTACATAACTTTTCCCCACCTACAGCTCCCAACATGGAATTTTTAACCCCTGCAGAAATTTTTCTGAAAATGATCAGGATCCTCTGAATTATCAAAAAACCTTTGAGCGACTTTTATTTTGTTGTTGCGTGTAGCAGTACCGCCACACTACCGATTTCCAAAAACTAAAAAGTTTTTTCGTTATTGGCATAGTATTAATCGACGTCAAGTCTTCAAGTTTCAAGGGGAAGTGTATGGGGTAATCTATAATGTATGAAATATCTCTAAAAGGTGCGGATTGGAAATGTATAAATTGGTAGCATAAACATTTTCATATACTCTCCCCTACCTCCTACAGCCCCCAACATCCAATTTTTGCGGCTTTTGCTGTTGTGAAAATTTTTCTAAAAATGATAGATGATAGTTTGAAATGTCAAAAAACAAATTTTGGAAAATTTTTATTTTTTTGTTTTTTTTTTTTGCCTGTAGGACTGCCGCCACTCGACAGATTTTCAAATACTACAAAGCTTTTTCGTTCCTAGTTTAGTAGTAACATTGCGTGTAAATTTCATCAAAATCAGAGCGGTACTTCTCAAGTTATAGACGTGCCAATAATTAGAGGACAGACAGATTGACGGAATTGAGTTACACGGTTCTTCGTGATGTACATTCCAGATATACTGCCAGGACTCAATAACTGTTTAGCATTTAATATTGGTCTTAAAGAGTCAAATGAGATTATCAGGTAAAATTAAGTAACCTCAAAAGAGTTCCTTTTTTGTAGTTTTAAAATAGTTCAGTCTCAATTAACTTTGAAACTGAATAGCTTTATGAAGAATTTGCGGGCTGTTTGGCTTCATAACGTTCTAGTTTGCGACGTAGTTTTCAAGCAGGTTTGAATATCCTCCTAATATAAATACTAAATCTCATTATTGAATCTAATTGATCTTATGACTAATGTGTCAGTAAGAGTAACTACACTTCTTGGTAGAAACAATAAATCTAAAATCACCTCTTCCTTCATGTCTAAAATGGACACCGCATTTTATTTAGAGTGGAGCGGTGGTGTAGTGCATTGTTAAATTTAGCAATAGTACTAGTCGATGTTATGGTTAGACTTATATTAAAACCAAGCGGCATTTATCACAGCCGCATTCAAACTAGACGGTTTTAATTCCAATGACATCATGTTTTTATGAAGGATATGTGCTCGTGGAAGGGTATAAAATAAAAACCGTTGGTCCTAACGTTTCTCTATCGTTTGACTAAATGGTTTTAATTTTCGGCCATCCTGCTTTCTCGATTCGTTGGAAGCCATGATAGATAACAATATTGACGCTTACATAAAAATGATATATTATTAACTCAATGGCGTAATTCACATTTGTTTTAAAATGGAAAAAATGAAATGATACATAAATTTATTTTTGTTCACGTGTTAAATTTTCTTTTTTTAATTGTAAAGCTGTTTTATTCAAGACCTTTTTCGTTAGGATTTATCAATAAATACGGGCGCGCAAGTATTTTTCTGACTTGACAGTCCGGAATAACTGCCTTTTTTTTATTAATCATTGTTACAGAGGCGTACCAACAGTAATGTACAAAAGTATATAGATAAATATGAATATTTACCTAAATATACTAAGTGACATATAAATCCGAACACCCAGTTTAAATGGTTTTATTTTAATAAAATTTTGTATAAGTACTTATTGAAGCATAATAAGTAAATGATAAAAATTTCAAAATGATTGCACTGCTTTAAAGCCCTTTGACCTTTAATAATGTGTGGATTCACCCTGATGTGCTACGCATTCTCCAACGCGCCTCCTGTGGTATCTTATTCCAGGCTACCACCAACTCCTCTCGAAGTGCTTCTAGAGTCTGAGGAGGACGTTGCAAATTGAGCAATCTCCTACCCATCATATCCCACACGTGCTCAATTGGGGATAAGTCGGGAGATCTTGGTGGCCATGGTAACAATGTGACATCATTATGTTGAAAGAAGTCTATTGTGACTCTTGCAACATGTGGTCGGGCATTATCTTGTTGGAAAGTTGGATCTGCCAGGGTGTCAAGATAGGGTAAAAGATGGGGTTCTAGAACTTCGTGGATATAACGCTGCGCGTTCATGTTACCTCTGATGAAGATTAAAGGTGACCTGGAACCATAAGCTATAGCACCCCAAACCATAACTCCAACAGTGTGATGAACATGTCTTTCAACAAAAAACTGTGGATTCCTCCTTTCACCACGTCGCCTTCTAACCCTGGCATGACCATCGTGCATGCCTAAACAAAATCGAGACTCGTCACTAAAGACAATACTGTTCCATTCCTGATCCCAGAGTGACCGTTGTCTGCACCACTCAAGGCGATTACGTCGGTGTTCTCGAGTTAAAGGGAGGACCCAGTGTGGCCGGTATGAAAACAAGCCAAAACTTCTCATTCGTCGGTAAACACTTCGCATGCCAATAGGTCTTCCGTGTTCTGCAAACCATTCATTTGCAATGGACCTGGTAGTGGAGAAACGGTCCCTTAAGGCCAATAATCTTAGGCGGCGATCTTCACGGTCTGTTGTTCTACGGCGGCGTCCAGTGCCCCTTGCTCTTTGCGTACGGACTTCTCGAAGCCATGCCTGACAACACCTAACCACAGTGTCTACACTTCTTTGCACTCTAACTGCAATTGCCCGAAAAGAAAGTCCAGCTTCCCGAAGTCCCAGTATACGGCCCCTATCAAACTCACTAAGTTGACGAAATCGTACAGGTCTCCGTACTCTAGGGCATCGTAACCGATCCTAAAGGATGTTAAGAACCAAAATCCGCCAACGTTGATTCTTTACTGCGGCTAAAATATTCATTTTTAGAGCGTTAGTGAATTAAAAAAAAGCAGTATAAAAACCGGAATGTCCAACTGATAAGGCTGAAAATTTTTTCACTTGTTATTTACAGTAAGATAAATACATTCACCAACTTTTATTAAAATAAAACCATTTAAACTGGGTGTTCGGATTTATATGTCACTTAGTATACCTTTAGAAAACAAATTCATACTTCATTGCTCCATAAACAAATGCGTTATTAGTAGAAAAACTAAATTCCTTGTTTTTACATTATCTGCAATGAACACAAAACAAGTCTGAATATAAGCACTTTTTTATGAGGGACCAAAATATGTAGACAAATTCCTTTCAACATTAGTTTAGTACAGTTTCGTGTCAGAAGAGGATTAGTTTGTGTTCATCAAGTATTGTGGAATAAGTTGAGTGACTTTAAAACCATGCGGCGTGGTCCAGAAATTTCTTTCGATGTAAAAACTAAGATCATAGAGTTATACAAAGATGGTCAACGTCAAGTCGACATTGCCAAAAATTTGACACTGAAGCGTAAAGCAGTTTGGGCAATATTGAATAAATATAAACAAAAAGGTATCTTGGAAGCCTCTAAGAGAAGTGGTCGGCCTAGATCAGTTAGATTAATAAAAGTGACTTCGCTCAAAGATCCGTTTAAAACCCCAAGACAAATAAAAGCCGAAATCGAGATAAGAGGAATTGTCAGAGTTTCTACGAAAAGTATAAGTAGAAGATTGAATGATTTGAAGTTATTTGCACGTGGCCCGAGTAAGAAGCCGCTAATCTCGAGGAAAAACTGTAAGGACCGATTACAATTTGCACGGTTGCATCTTGATTGGAGCATGTGTGACTGGAAGAGGGTATGTTTCAGTGACGAATCCAAGTTCAATATGTTTGGATCAGATGGTCTTCATTACGTTAGACGTCCTAGTGGACAAAGATTGAACCCCAAGTACACTTTGCCCACTGTCAAACATGGAGGCGGGTCTGTTATGGTTTGGGGGTGCTTTTCGGGGTTTGGGATGGGACCTTTACATAGAATAAATGGCATTATGGATAAGTTTGTATACACAGTCATACTAAAGCATGTCATGTTACCCTATATGGAAGACAATATGCACTTAAGATCAATCTTCCAGCAAGATAATGACCCGAAGCACACTTCAAATCTCGCAAATAAATTCTTTCTGGATGAAACAATACCAGTTCGCAAATGGCCTACACAGTCTCCCGTTATAAACCCCACTGAAAATCTATGGAAATACTTAGATAAGCAAATACGAGATAAACATTATTCAAACAAGGATGAACTTTTTGCCGCTTTAGAGCAAAAGTGGAGACAGATTGATGAATCTTATATCAATAACTTCTACAATCTATGCCGAGACGATATGCCAGGCGGTGATTGATAATAATGGTTATGCTACAAAATATTAACACAAAAACATGGTTGGTTTTCTATAATTCAATGAACTTTGCTTCTTTTTTCTATAATTTTTTTGCTTTATCTATATATTTTTGTCCTTCATAGTTCCAGTTTTTTCCATTAGTTTTTTATTGAAGGGAGAGTCTAATGAATTTATTTATGTATAAGTGAGTATTATGTATACAGGTTGGTGCATTAATAAAGCAAGTTAAAAAAGAAATACAGCACAATATTAATTTGTCTATATACTTTTGTCCATTACTATATATATAATAAATATAAAAATTTGTTGTTCTACGATCTGTTATATGTTAACAATAAGGTAAACTGTCCTTAAATGTATACATGTATACATACAATGAGCATCTTTCAGTTTACGTTAAAACTGTGTGGGTTTAAAATGTATTTGGTCTTCAAAACAGATAATAAAGTTTTATTAGGGTTTTTATTTTTAGTTTTATCGACCGCTTTCAGTGTCAGCCCTTTTATGCTGAAGGCGAGCTACTAGAAACTTAAGGTTTACTAAAAACCAATTAGTTTTAATTGAAGTTTTATTTCACAGTTTTAACGCATCATTACGATACTTAATAAACCCGTTCGGTCCTACTTGGATACGCCAACATAAAATGAGGTAACAGAACCCTAGTCCTGGACTACTCAAAGCTTAAATTATAATGTTGGTTGTAAAAACTGAGGGTCGTAATGTTGACGCGAAATTTCTATAGCTGAACGTGCCCCCAAGAGAACTAATAATTTGATGTATACATAAGGCAAAATGAATCACATCAGCACACACTCACATACCTCACACTGTTCATAACTGGCTGTTGATTTTTGTTAGTGTTGATCATGTTTTCTGTCACTGTCGCCCGAATATCTACTACCTTCTGAGTTGTCTGACTAGCACTATCCTTCTTCTCGGCTTTGGCAGGCGAATTATTTTGGCTTTTCACCTTACTTGGTGGAGAAGTGTTGACGTCCTGAAATGACAGGGTTGTAATATCAAATTACAAACGAGAACTTTTTCTTGCTGAATCGGTACCTGAGAATGCTTCAAGCTGACGCAATCGTCGTCGGATTTCGACATGATGTGCGGCGTGTGGTGACCTGGTGGTATCGGGGCACATTTCTTTTTCCTGGTATTAGGTCTTGGACTCTCCCAACAGACGTTCAGATTCGGATTGCTTGACTTGTGGTTCGTAATATAATCCTCTTCATGAAAATTCTCCGGTAACGTTACATATTTGCTGGCGTCTTCAGGGAACAACACATCCACTTCTTTGATGAACAATTCTATCAGCGTATTGACCGTCACACAATTGCCTGTGAATAAATAGAAGATATAGGATATAGTGTAACATCTGGAACTTATCCTGTGGTTTCCATGATGATAATTTCCCATGTTTATCCGGCCAATGAAATCACATATACACTACCGTCCAAAAGTTTGGAAGCAGTGAGGTAAAATCAAATAAAAAATTTAGACCTCTTCAATTATATGGTATTAAATTAAAAAATGAAGCAGAAATAACTTCGACAAAACAGAAAATTAACGAATAATGTGAAAAATAATCAAAGTTTAACTTCATCGAAGTGTCCACCTTTTGCTTTAATAATTTTAGCGCATACTTTTGGGCATTCTATTAATTTCTTAAAATTATCTTCGCCTAACTAGTTCCACTCACTCTCTAATAACTGCCATAAATGTTCTGAGCTCATAGGCTCACCCTACTGTCGAGCTCATCCCAGACAAGTTCTATTGAAAAAAGATCTGGTGACTGCGATGGCCATTGCATGATTTTTTAAACCTTCTCATCTATTTTGTTCTTTAATAAATTCTAGCACAGTTTAGATGAATGTTCGGGGTCATTATCTTGTTGAAACGAGGACCAATGAAATTTACTCCACAAGGTACGGCGGAGTCCTGAAGAATTTTTAAGTAACCATCTTTGTTCAATTTTCCAGTTATATTCACAAGATTTCCGGGCTTATTGTTTTCAAAATAACCTCAAACCATCACATTACCACCACCATGTTTCACAGTTGGCACTGCACGTGCTTCGGAAGCCCTTTCTTCCTTTGAACAGTTTACAAACACACGTCTATTGGATCCGAAAATGTGAAACTTCGATTCATCGCTCCAATGAGCATTTTCCCATTGACCTGTAGTCCAGTCTTTGCCAATTCTAGTCTATTTTTCTTGTGTCTAATTCTTAATTTTGTTTTTTTTTTGCAGCAACACACCCATTTAGACCCACAGACAGAAGACGTCGTTTAACAGTTGCTACTGAGACTGGCTTTACTCGCGTACTATTCACAGATGTGGTAATTTGTGGTGCGGTTAAGCGTTGATTGCGTTTAGACAGAACTCTGATGAAGTTATCCTCTTGATTAGTTGCGGTCTTAGGTCTGCCTGATTTTTTTCTGTCTGCGTTTCTTCCAGTTTCTTGTTTTCTAGCAAGAGTGTAGTGAACACCTTTACAAGAAATTCCAAGCCTAGTTGCGACTTCTTTCTTCCTCACGAAGAATACAAATAGCAGTTCGCTGTTCAAGCGTGATTTGCTTGCGTTTTGCCATTTTCTGGAGAAAAATTATGGGAAAAGCTGTAGTCAACAATTTTTGAATAATGATGTTATTGTTAAACAAGTTAAAAATAACAAATACTACCGATAGCAACACGTCAAAGTATGAAAAAAGCAACCGCAGGATTAAGTAAGAAAACACGTGTTTTGTCAACATCTAGGGATTTGTAAAAACATGTTTAAGGAGAGCAGTCGATCCTGTTGTTGATGTTGTGTAAACAATAATAAAAAGCCATAAAGATAACATTTATTATAAATTTTTACCGCGTTTCGTTTCGACCAAAAAGAGATGTGCTTCCAAACTTCTGGACGGCGGTTTATTTGAAATTCATCTTTAATGTAGTAAACGTTTCGACTACAACGGTAACCTTCTTTAAAATATGACTCTTTTGGCAATATTTTATTCATCTAGCTTCCAGGTGACAGATCGTTTGTTTTTTCTTTTCATTTTCAGATTCCTATAGTCCCAAACCATCATTAAAAATTTTAAAATGGCTGGTTTTGCATGGTGTAATCTTAATGGTATCATGAAAAATAGAGCACAAGGATGCAAATAGGATTTTTTTCTAATCAACTATTGTCGTTACCTATGTTTACATTGATGTTCTCATGTTTGTTCCACAGCAAGTTAGGTGACATTACGATGGCCAGGTTTGAAGACGTCATCTTGTTCTCAGGATGCTTCGTCAGCTTTGAAAGGAACTGAAAGAGGTATGAGAGGTTATCTTTGTTCTCTTGTGGTAACCTTTGAACGATGCTCTTAACCACTTCTAGTCTATGATTGTCCGGCAATTGGGCGGCTTCTAACCATTCTTTGTGCAGATGAAAAGTCAACAGAGGTTCGGGCAGCTCTCTGAAAAGGATAAAATGTAGTCAATTAGGTTGACTTTACACTTCCCACGCAACGCCGGCATCAGTTCATAAACGATTATATTCAGCGCAAGTTAGACCCTATCCGAATAAGAAAGCGCCATAGACCTCATACTCCTATCCTAGATAGATGATAGATACTATGCTTTTGTTCGTTGTCAGAGAGACCAAGCTTAGACCATACTAATGAGTTGCCAAAAAAGCACGAAACAGCTATCTGTGGTTGACTGTATTTTGGTTAGACAGACGAAAGGGGCATGTTCAAGTTAGACCCTCTACGAAAAAGGTTAGTTACGAACATGTGAGAAAGAGAAAGTAATCGGATTAGGTTGGTCAAATAGGTCCGTACAATTACTACATAACATTCTTCCACTGCCCTACTCGTAGTACCCAATATCTGAAAGCATGATAGGTCACAGGTGGTAGAGCGCCAGTGATGCAGGACATAAACGAACACCGGCACGCCGTTAGTCAGCAGATGCAATGACGGTTATCGAAAAATTTGTCTATCGTTCCAAATTTCAAAGTGAAAAATAAACATTCACTATACTTAGTAACATTTTAGAATTAAATGAAAATATTAAATAAAACCAAGTCTCATATATGATGAACAAAAAAAAACCCTTGGACAAAAGTATGGAAATAATATTTTTAGTACGAAAAAAAAAGTTAAACATACAGATTAAACAAGCAGTGTTCAATATTTTGTTGAAAATCCCTTCGCCTTAATGACTTCCCTACATCTTCTTGGCATGGAATCAACCAGATTTCGACACACATCAACTGGAATCTTCCGCCATTCATCTTGTAGAACTTCCCATAGATCATTCTCACTTTGCCCAATGATCCGCTCTAAGTGCTCCCAAAGGATTGAGGTCGGGGGATTGCGAAGGCCATTCCAGTAAATCAACGTGTTTCTCTAAAAGCCAATTTTTTACTAAATGGGATGAATGTTTCGAGTCGTTATCTTGTTGATATCTCTACAACAGCGGCATTTCTTCTTCGGCATAATGTAACACAGTATTCTGTAATATGTCGCGCTACATAAAGCGATCCATTTTCCCAGTTATTTTCAGTATCGCGCCCGTTCCAGACCTGGGAAAACACCCCCATACCATAACACTGCCACCACCATGCTTTTGTGTAGGCTTTTGATACTTGATATCAATTTTTCTCCCGACAGGTCTTCTTACAAACGATCTTCCACCACCACCAAATATTTTAAATTTGCTTTCGCCACTCCAAAGCACCATACCCCCGTTTTTAAGTGTCCAATTTGAATGTCTCTGAGCAAACTGAAGTCTGGCCTTTCGATTCTTTTTAGACAGCAACTCTTCCAAACAACCCAACTTCACATAGACGTCTTCCCACAGTACGGGCCGTTATGTCTGTGTTGGGATATTGACGAATTTCTGCATTAATTTGGACGACTTATACGGATCAGCTATCGAAATTCTTTTGATGCCCCTATCAACATAGAGGAAAGTTTTTCTAGGACGACCTGACTTTGGATGATTAGTAACGTTTCCTAGTAACCGAAACTTTTTTAGAATTTTTGAAACGACATCCTCGCTTAAGTCTAAATTTCTTGATATAGTACGTTGCTTTACACCCTGCCTTTTCAACTCGACAACTTTAAGTCGCAACTCTTCGGGCAAATACTTATTATTCCTGCTCATTCTTAATAGGGTGCTGATTATGCAGTGATACAACAAAACTAATCCAATGATGTTAAATATGTAACAATGCTGATATGAGAAGGTAGGAATGTCTATGGCACAAAAAGTAAACATCTGAAAATACGTGATACCTAAACAGGCATATAAAATGAATGGCACCATTTATTGTTGTGTACCAGGCGAGCTGGTAAAATATTTGAAATGAAAATATTTCCATACTTTTGTCCATGATTGTCTCTCTAATAGGTGCGTATAAATATCGGGGATGGAAGTGTATGAAAATACAAACATTAAAAAATTGCGATATATATGTTACAAAGACACAACCAAAATATAAGAGGCAGTTTTTGGAAATAAGGGAACAGCGCAACTAATTGAAAAAGGGCGCGGTTCTATTACCTTTCGGGGAACTGTTTTCTCCAACACTGATATAGGAGTCGCTACCCGAGTCTCTCAGTTATTCTACTTACTCGTTTTCAAGAACTGACCCCTTCGTCGCCCTTGTTTATCAATTATTTTGATTACAGATGTTATTTCCATTTGCTTATCAGCGATAAGCCATGCCACTTTATATCTACATATAAATTCTATGAACTTAGTGTTACCTGAGGTACAGCTTCAACAGACTGGCCAGTACATGGGCGTCCCTATATTCTGGGATCAAGGCAACAAAACAGCCAGAATCTATGGATGCTTTCAGTCGTTTCACTTTGGTGGTACTCGCTGCTACCCTGAACAGACCTTCTTCTGAAAGACCATATTCGGATAGGGCTGTAATGCAGATTTCTAGAGGATAAGCCAGTCTTTTGCCCGTTATCCTTAGATGTTCTTTTAGTGATGTACCGAATACTTTGCGTACTGGGCTATTACCTAAAAGAATAATAATAAATGCCATCATTATCTGCAGTGACGCAAAATTTAGCCACTTAAACCCAAAGCAAGAAATGGAAAATATTACACATATTACAAAAAATATATTTCCTAATACGACAAAATTGACTGAACAAGATAAATGCAGGGCCAATGTATAGATATGAAAAAATATACAAAGATGCACACAACACCATAAAATAATAATGGCCAAACAGACTATATCAGTCTAAGCTAGAAAAAACAATCACAGGAGTACAATAGAGAAAGACAGACTTCTCATCAATTATCAATGGTGCGAGATAGCTAAAATGTCGCACTATTCTTCTTAATGCTCTTCGGTCGGCGTTTGTGATATTACTTTTTTTCACATATCGTGGCTTAATATTAACTGAACCAGTTACGTTATATCTTCTAACAATATTGCTCACACTGTACCGCGATAAGTCTAATAAAGTTGCAATTTCTGAGTTTCATTTCCCAGAATTAAAAAATTTAATTATCAGGAACTGACTTTTCTCACTAATAACCTCTCCTCTACCCATTTTGAAAACCTTAACTACCCATAACTATTTTAAACGTATTCTGACTGCTGTGATTAATAAAAACAATTGTCATGGCTTTTATTTTTCACAGCCACCTATGCGTTATAGACTTATTTTGCATTGAAATGAAAATAGGTTGATATGCTGTAATTGCAACATGTGTTATTTTTATGCTGCAAATTTGATTAGGGACTGATAAAGTTGGTGTTTTCTACTATATAAATATTATCAAAATATTCATTGTTAATATTTTAAGCCTATAACACCCTGCTTCATTTTTATTATTTGTGTTTGATAAGAAAAAAACTAAGATTTCAATAGTTGGGCCAACTGAAGTGGGAAGGGGCTCGTAGTGTGCAGCCTGTGAATTACAATTTAGGCGGAAAAATATGTATCAATGGTGATTTATAGACCTCCTGGTGGAGACATGAATATATTAATAAATGTTTTAGATAATCTAAGATTTTAATATTGATTTCACTAAGAATTGTACTAATAAAATTAAGCTGTGCTCTTTAATTAACTCTTACAATATTCATCACACAATTGCTTCTTACACAAGAGTTACTTCTAATTCCAGCTCTGGTATAGATAATATTCTAACAAACTCTAAACATTCAAGAGCAGAGGCTTTGAATACATAAATATCTGACTATACTGCACAAAAGTTAATTATAGAATCTGCAAGTGAGCAAAGAAATGTGTTCACTTATAAAAGAAAGTTAAATTTTAATAATCAGCAACTCTTTTTGAGAATGATTTAGGTGATAATCAATGGTCTGAAGTATATAACAAGAACCATGAGGTGAATGCTCAATGGGAAAACTTCAGCTCTATATTTCTCTCAATATTCGATCAGAATTTTCCGATAAAAAGGTAAGGAACACTAACAAGAAGAATAAAAACATGATAATGATGTAGAAATAGCATAGTGTCAGAAAGAATTATATATTTTATATCCAGTTAGCTTGGTAGATTCTACCTATTAAGAACAGTATAAGTTAAAAAGAAAAGAATACAACATGAAACTGACAAACTGCAAAAAAAGACAGTACAACAACAAAATACTAATGTCTGATAATAAGGGTAAAACAGTATGGCATATAGTAAATTAATTAACTTGGTCTGGCAATTTTAAGCAACAGACAGAATCAGAGCTTGATTTGGATCTCACAACAGATAAATTCAACAAAGTCTTGGTGGAATTAATTGAGAACTTAACTCGCAACAACAGTCCCGTTTATGAATGCACTCTTAAACAAATTGTCTGTCAGGTCTGTAACCCAAGTTGAATTATTTGAAATTGTCAAATGTTTAAAAAATAAAAAGAATAGTGGTGAAGATGAAATATCCAGTATAATCATAAAAAATTGTATTGATTACATTGTAGATCCATTGGTATTTATCAATAATTCATTGAAATATCGTATTTATCCTAATCAGTTAAAAACAGCACTTGTTATTCCAGTGTACAAGAATAAAGTCGATTTGTCATCTTTTGATAATTTCAGACCCATAAGTTTGTTATTAGCTTTTTCAAAAATATTTGAGATGGTAACGAATTTTTTAACTCTAAATGACCTGATAATTGAAACTCAACATGGTTATATTAAAGGAAATTCAATTCTTTCAGCTGCTTATAAGTTTATTCAGAATATTATAGAGGACTTGGCCAACAATAAGAGTGTACTGGGAATCTTTCTTGACCTTACTAAAACGTTTGACTGCCTAGATCACAATACAGGGTTATCCAAATTAAGTGTCCACCATTAGTAACTTTGTTATTAGTGAAAATACAAAGTTGTTTGAATTAGCAAACTAGTAGCATTTTTAACGCTGGTAAAAATGAGAAATAAAAAAAACAATTGAGAGTCGTTATTTTGATTTTTTTCAGTAAAATAACATTTTTTTAAATGGAAACCCCTGTATATTATATTTTTTTCTGTTAAAGCATCAAATTTTAAACAAAAAAGCTTACAATAACTTTTCTCCTAGGTTACAAATTGTTGAAGTTATGGCCTCCAATCTGAAACAATTAAATTGTATCGACAAACTTTATTTTCAACATCAACTTATAATCTTACAAAATACAATAACAATTTTTTTTAAAGAAGATGCTCGAAAACACCACCTTGTTCTTCAATACATTTTTGGGCACGTTTTTCAACTGCTCGAACTGTCTTAAGTATGGTCCTACCATCTATCTGGGTTATCTTTTCCCTAACTGCAGTCTTTAACGCGTCAAGGTTATCGTACCTTCGCTTGTAAATTTGGTTCTTTAAGTAACCCCACAAGAAGTAATCAAGTGGGTTTAGATCTGGTGATCTGGGAGGCCACTGTATTGGGCCATTTGTTCCTATCCACTGATCATTAAAAGTAGTACTTAGAAAATGATAAGTACCTCTGGAGTTGTGGGCAGGTGCGCCATCTTGCTGAAAATGCAGATGATGTCTACTTATAAGATCCAATTCGTCTAAGAAATTAGTCAGAATTTCTGACATAAATTCCACATATCTTTCACCAGTTAGGGTTCCCTCATAAAAGAACGGGCCAACAATTTTTGAACCAATTATACCGCACCAAACGTTGAAACTGAAACGGACTTGTGGGCCTCTTGGATGTACTAACAAAAGATTTTCTCTTGACCAATAATGGTGGTTTTTTCTATTAAACATTCCAGAATTTGAAAAATTTGATTCATCTGTCCATAAAAGGTAACGAAAGTTATTTACATTTTGGCGACAGAAGCTAAGATACCAATGGCAAAAAACAAGTCTTCTCTCTGGATCCCCTGCCAAAAGCGTTTGAACTGGTCGGTACTTATACGGAATAAATTTGTATTTTTTTAAAATCCTTTGAACAGTACCATAACTGAAATTAGAGTCCTTGAGAATATCTGCTATTGAATTCTCACGATAAGCTTCAAAATATCCAATAACTGCAATTTCCGTGGCCTCGCTTATTATGAATTCTTTTTTTGCCCTTGTTTTAGCAAAAACATTTTCGTTGCCCCTAAATTTTCGATAAAGTCTCAGAAAATATCGTTCATACGGTTGAATGCGAGCGGGATATAATTCACTGTAGTATTCTCTTGCTCTCAAGGAGGATTTTCTGCACACTAAATAGCATTCTAACATATCACACTTTTCTTCATGGGAGAACATTTTTCTTTAAATTAATGACACAATAAAGCTTATAAACAAGTATTTACACTAATGTTTGACATTATTTGATTTTATCATTGTTTTCCAAAGCCTTCTAGTTGCGAGTATATCCAGTTTAACAATTTGTAGCTTATCTTAATGCTGTCAAATCGCGAACGCCATGTTGTTTTCATAGCCGTCTTAATATTATAATACTGCAAATAATTAAAAATATTTATCGTTATTTTGACTTTATTTTTGACTTTAGCGGAAAAGTCATTATGAACTTTTTTGTTTAAAATTTGATGCTTTAACAGAAAAAAATATAATATACAGGGGTTTCCATTTAAAAAAATGTTATTTTACTGAAAAAAATCAAAATAACGACTCTCAATTGTTTTTTTTTATTTCTCATTTTTACCAGCGTTAAAAATGCTACTAGTTTGCTAATTCAAACAACTTTGTATTTTCACTAATAACAAAGTTACTAATGGTGGACACTTAATTTGGATAACCCTGTATATTATTGCAAAAATTAGAAAGACATGGCATTAGAGGACTAGCACTTTCTTGGGTAGAATTATACCTCAGCAATCGTAAGCAAAAAGTAAAACTTTTGAGATGTAATGGAACAGCTATTTCGAACGAGCTTAATGTTAAAACAGGCGTGCCTCTGGGCAGTATATTAGGTCCCACATAGTTTAAATGTTTAAATGTCATCGACACCTGTATCAAACCTGATGTATGCAAAATCATGAAGTATGCAGATGACACAAATTTGCTCAAGGTCCTGAGAATGCATGTGATGAGGGGGGATATAATATGGACAATGTAAAAACCTGGTTTTTTAACAATATGCTAATTCTTAATAAAACTAAGAATTGTGCTATGTATTTTAGAACTGCTCACTGTAGAGAAAATTTTCAAAATTCAATTTGTCTCAATGGTACAACAACGATTGTACCTCCAACATTCACAGATTCGAAAACTTCTTTCAAACATCTGTTGACGTACCAACTTGCCATAACTGTACGCTGTTCTTCCAGCTCAATTGCTTTTACTAAGCCAGTGCTGCGAAAGAAAACAGCGTACATGTCTTTTCTCATGGCTCTCTGCTTATTTACCATTGTTGGTGTAGGGTCATCTTCATGAATCCACACACGGCTTTCCTGACGTGTAGGAACGTCATAAAACGGTATATAGGTTTCATCACCTATTATTTTTGAAAGAATATAATAACCGCCATTGTTTAACATTTCCAATGTTTTACTAAGCCAGTACGCTGATGTGGCACCCATTTCGCAACAACTTTTTTTAAATGAAGAGGATCATGCAAAAAGGTGTGCACTGTTGCGGATTCTACCCCAAGAGTTGCCTCTATAGTCGCATATGTGCAGCGAGAATATTCTTCAATTAGCCGGTAAACTTTAGCAATATTTTCTGGAGTTACACTAGAACATAGCCTACCACTACGTTCTTCATCAGCCAATGAAACTCGCCCTCTTTTAAATTCGGCATATCGGCGTAACACACTTGCCCGGGACGGAGCTTCATTCCAAATGCCTGTTGTAACAGTTCGATACATTGATGTTCAGTTAACACAGGACTGCTCTTTCTAATACTGCAATTTTGCCGGTTTTAACTAGTATAGTTAATGCGCATCTCAAAATATTTAGCGTGACCTGTCAAATAAAAAGGTGACGGTCTAATCTCACATTAATGTCCAGGGTTCTTGGTGTAACCGACGAAGGGGGTTAGTATTTGATCCAAAACAATACTAATTCACTAATTAACATAACATGATAAGGAAGGAGCTTCTCCGACAAAAACCATAGCTGCGGTCTTGTTAGAATTGATGTTCGGTGTTCTTTGCAACAATCACATATGTTAGTCATGTCTAAGTTAACGTTCAATCTTTGACATATGACATATTGAAATGGCACACTACATGTCTATCATTTTCAGGTTTGCATTCATGAATAGAATATGATAAATCATCCAATCAAATCCCGAACGCAAAAGAATAATCAAATATAACATATATAAATTTGGAGAAACAAGATCACAATGAGCAAAGCAAAATTTTGATATAAAAGTATATTTTATTTGACGTCTTTCTCCTAATTGCAAATATTGTCGACTTTCCTTACGTTAGAATATTATCAATTAGCCAACATCTGGCGTTTAGAAACATAACAGAATACATGTCAAATATTTCGTGCATTTTTTGTGAAATGACTGACATAATTTTATTGATTCTGATCTTTTTTTTTTTTTGTCGATCGGTTTGGCATTGGAAGTTATCCATTTGCCACAGATGTGTGTTAGGATTCTGATCTGTGAACCAATATTATACAGAAACCAAATATTTACCTATTTTGTGTTCCAGAAACGGTATAAGCATTTCCAAATTTTTAAGTGCACTTTCGTGATAGCTCCTTTGTAACTTCAGAAGTTGTAGAATATACTCAGAAAGTTCATTTTCTTTGGCCAAAACGCTGAACATTTCTACAGCTAGGGCATCTCGGCTTTGTTCTACTTTTGTATCTGCCTCCTCCATATCTTCCCTTAGCGTCTCTTTACCAGTAGCCTACGAAAAATTAAAAATGATAAATACATCAAACTATAATATATTCGAAAGCATTATTCAGAAATGGAGTCAGAAAGAGTGACAGCAGCCCATGCTTATTATCAAACACTCCAAAAAGATTAGTGACCTTTTTAATGTTCAATTGACACTGACTATACGACAATAAATGTCGACAGGACAAGATATCTAAGCCCGTTATAGTTGATTTATTGACACCCAACAAGATAATATTCTGGAAGCACTACCGTAGTAGGTGGTATGGCGGATGACTTAGGGGATAAGTTAGTATTCGTCTTTTTTTTTTTGGGGAATTTCAAACTACCACAGTAAATGCTGATATGTACTTTTGATTTCTTCGGATTCTTGGTTGTAAAGTCTAATAGGTAAATATCTCAAGCCATTATGCCTAAGAGCTAACATCGTAGGTCTAAGTATTACGTATTTGTATGAATGAAATACACTTTTAACAAAAAATAATGGCGCCAGCTCACCTGATACCGGTTACTGGCTGAATCCTTGTCGAGGCAGTACTTCTTCAAACTCTGCTTGTGTTTGAGTATATTTGGAAAATCGTTTTCCAAAACAGTTTGCAATGGATTGTAGACCATCTCCTCCACTTTGGTCTCATGATCACCGAATTCTTTGGCAAGCTGCTGCTCGATTTCTCCGCAAGACTTCAGAATACTTTGGAAAAGGGGGCATTCCTTGCTCTGTCGACTTTCCTCGATGAACGTCGTACCTAGCTGATACTCCATGGTCTTTTTCTGTAATAGGATCATACATAGTCAAAAGGTGATATTTTAAAATTAGTACTTTATAAGGTATATGTCACTAAATAACGTATTATTTATTTGAAACAATGGGGAGCAGCAAGTAGTCAGCGAGCAGCCACTAAATTCACGTGTACACTTACATGAGGCCTCAATTTGAATGCGGGGCATCGCCGGACAATGAATGAAGCTGAGCAACTCTAATCTATCCAGAGTATAAGGGTTATTTGTATAAGACAGCACAAAGTGTCACGTTATGTCATGTCACTACCAGAATCGTTCACTGCAAAAGGGAAAACCGCAAGCTGTCTGTTGGACCATTTTCAGATTTAAAGTAATTTGAAATTTAAATACCTGTTCAAATAAAAAAACCGGAATATCTGAATAACTACAGGAAAAATGTATCATAAAAATATGAGCCTAAAAACTCACTTGGCACCACTCCTAATGCTCCGCCGTCAAACCAAGGCTACATATAGTGTACACATGGACTTAAAGGCTGTTCCCCGTTTAGAAAAGGTCAGTTCAGTGATTATACTTGTAAGAAATGTTTTTGTTCACAAAGCAAAAAGGGCTTCAGATTACGTCATGGAATGAGGAAAAACACGTTTTTGAAAATGTTTGTTTGAATTTATAGTTACAAAACTAAAAATTAGTCTTTTAAACCATGATCTCCATTTGAAGTAGTATCTCAGTGGCATAACATGCGCCACAAAAATTTTGAGCATCACATTCACATGTCACAAATAACCTTACATTTTGGAATATTTTTTAACAATCCAGTCTTTTGGTGCTCAAAAAATAGACGCCCGAAAAGTTTTGAGACTTTGAAAAGTGAATATCTTCATAGATTTCGATTTCCGAATATTTACTTTACTATACAACATGTTTTCGGTTCGCGCCGTATTGGGAAAATAGAACCCAAAAACAATTTTTTCAAAATATATTCGTTCCGGCTGCCTGCCGAAAATAAGGGTAGACGTTATAATAAACAATAAAAAATTTTTCGACAGTTCATGTCATTTGCATTTTTTGTAGGACGAATAGTATCAGAGTACGAATGGCACAAAGCTACTTTTGTAATGTTTTATAAATCACTGCTTGTATGGATTTCGACGTGCCATTTGCGAATTTTTAATCCGAGACCTTATATGTTTACTACCATGCCATACTGAAAAAATTTACAAAGCATGTTTTAACGGTGTTTTAACATATATATATATTTTGTATATATATATATATACAAAAAGGAGGAAAGTGGATTCGAGCAGAAAATAGGATAGGCAACCCGAGCGATACGTATTTCTGCTGGTTGGCTTCATCAGGCCCGAAATGAATGCACATATGAAACTACAGAAGTGAATACACATGGCCACACATCCGGATACGATGTGTATCTACTTCTGTAGTTTCATATGTGCATTCATTTCGGGCCTGATGAAGCCAACCAGCAGAAATACGTATCGCTCGGGTTACCTATCCTATTTTCTGCTCGAATCCACTTTCCTCCTTTTTTGCGGATTTTGCCCATTATTTTCCTACTTGTGGTTATATACCTTTCTCCGCATGATCATATTCTCTTTTTATATATATATAACAATTGTTTTTTTGACACAACAGTCAGGTACAAAATTCGATTTTCTCAATTCCGCAGATATGGAAATTTCATTAGCCACGGTATAAATCATATCCATATGGCTCTAGCTATGTTATTAAATTTTCAACCTGATATTTTACAAACCAAAACACTGATTCTTCAAGAATTTCGAGCAGTCTTGTCAAGTATGTTACGGGGGGCATGCTGTATATTTTGAGCTGTGCATTAAGTATACTAGTTAAAACCGGAAAAAGTGCACTCTTAGAAAGAGCAGTCCATTACATATTAGTAAGTCGCCGCATTCAGTTGATTTGCAAGCATCTTGAAGTGCACGTGGTGTAAACTAATTTAACCCTTTCGTCCCGAACGGTACCCATATGTACCAGGCAAATTTAAAAATTCCTGCTTGTGAAATGAAGCATTTTATTTGGTATAAACCTGTACCGGTCCGGTGTATCAGGCTTCCGCAGTGTACCTACAACATGCATTGTGGATATTTTGTGATTATGTCGATTTAGTTAGCACGTGTATGTAGTAGCGGCAGTATTACTCTAATAAAATTAGTTATTTAGGACACTCAAAGTGCTTATTTATGCAGATTTTGGATGAAGTTCTATTTGCTATTCAACTGTAATTAGTGTTTTTACAAAGGTAGGTCAAAACTATGTTTTATTTTTGTGTTTTTGCGTGTAATATTCGTGTGGTACATATATGTACCCTCCGGTATTTATGGTGGTACACATGTATACCAACAGGTCTCTGATTACGTTTATTCAGTTTTAGCTTCAATATGGATCGCCGCCATCCGCTTGCACAAAAAGAGCTGGAAGCGCTTATTGAAGATATTGAAGAAATCTCTGATTCGGAACCATTTTCTGCTGAATCCAGTGACAATTATGAACCAGATTCCGATGAAGAAGCAGGCAGTGATACGTCCGATATGTCTAACTCAGACATCCATTTTGCGCCTTCACCACAGGTAACTGTTGGTAGAAACCAAGTTCTTGACTGGGTTACTCCTGATGAAACATTTGAGCCTGCTAAAATCCTTCCTCCTGAAAGAGAATGTAAGCTGGCTCCCGATATCACAAAGCAGTTGACACCTATGCAGATTTTTCATAAAGTATTTCCCCATTCTCTTTATTTGCACATTGAAAATTGTACGAATGAACTCCTAAAAATCATAAACCAATTAAAAAGGAGGAATGAGAACATGACTGACAAAGGAGAAATACAGAAGTTAATTGGCTGCATGTTCAATATGTGCTACAATCGCCTTCCAAGCCTAAAAATTATTGGAGTAAAAAGGAGTCAATGAAAAATAGCACAATTCAAAAACTTTTTCAAGAGATCGATACATGACTTTGAGCTCAAAAATGTACTTTGCTTCTCCTCAGAAACCCCCAAATGCTTCAAAAACATATTATATTGAAGATTTGTTATCTTGTTCCAAATACACGTTTACAAAGTGTTGCCAGGATAGCCAGTATCAAAGTATTGACGAATCTGTGACCAAATTCAAGGTTCGATCTTCTTTGAAACAATATATGCCCCTCAAACCAACCAAGAGGGGCATAAAACTATGGCTTCGCTGCGATGCAGATTCGGGCTATACGTATGATGTTAATGAATATTCTGGAAAAGAGGACCCAATTCCCGCCAAAAAACAATCACTAACTCTGGGAGAGCGAGTCGTAACAGCCCTTGCGTCTACAGTCAAAGAAAATAATGTAGTGTTATGTTTTGATCGCTTTTTTTACAAGTGTGAATTTGTTACTTACACTAGACTATGCAGCCTTGGGAACTTACATGTCCAATCGCAAGAACGTACCAACTATGGGAGACAAGCTGCAAAAAGGGGAATCTCAATTCAGATGCACTTCTTCGGGATTACTTTATGTAAAGTGGCAGGACACAATGGAAGTTTTGCTGATGAGTAACTGTCATAAGCCCAATGTGACAACAATTATCAAAAAAAGCAAAACTGGTGAACAACAAAATATCCAATATCCAGAGGCCATATCTTTTTACAGAAAAAAAAATGCAAGGGGTTGATCGGGCAGACCAATTCATTGGGCTACATGATCATGACCGAAAATCAGCAAAGTGGTGGAAAAAGGTGAAATGAGACGTAAAAATGAGAATATTTCTTTTCTTTCTTTCCTCACCACACTTGCAGAAGAATTAATATCTGAAGGTATACAAAATACAAGCTTACCATTACCAAAACAAGGCGCACCTTCAAGAAAAAGAAAATTATATGGTGCATCAGCATTACATCTTCCTGTGGAGGGATCAACAAGAAGAACATCCACTAGATGTTCTGAAGAGAAAAAACAAACAAGAACAAAGCTCTTTGCGAGGAGTGCAATATTCCATTGTGCAAGTTCTATTTTATGTTGTATCATACCAAATAGTTATTTAGGTTCATTTTCTTCTTTGCAAAGCTGTTTTTGTATTTTTTTCTAAATAAATATTCTTATTCCATTGTTTTTTCTGTTTTTATGAATTTTCCGATCATACCTGTTGGTACGCATGTGTACCACCATAAATACCTGCTGGTACATATATGAACCACCCCCTCCACCGTTAACTGACCAATGAAAAAAATATATATTAATAAAAACTCATTGTAAGACATCCTAACAATAATATTTTACACTATTTATTATTTGGACTAGGGTATTTGAATTCAGGGACGAAAGGGTTAAGACGAAACATGGAGTTGTCTCGAGAGAGTTATCGCGCTATAATTTACTATGACTTTAAATTCTGTTTAACTTAACATCAATGTATCGAACTGTTACAACAGGCATTTGGAATGAAGCTCCGTCCCGGGCAAGTGTGTCACGCAGGTATGCCGAATTTAAAAGAGGGCGAGTTTCATTGGCTGATGAAGAACGTAGTGGTAGGTCATGTTCTAGTGTGACTTCAGAAAAAATTGCTAAAGTTTACCGGCTAATTGAAGAATATTCTCGCTGCACATATGCGACTATAGAGGCAACTCTAGGGGTAGAATCCGCAATAGTGCACACCATTTTGCATGATCATCTTCATTTAAAAAAGTTGTTGCATGCAATCCACGACAATGCCTCTAGCCAGACTATCCAACTAACTGTAGACTTTTTACGCCGACGCCATATCAAAATGCTGGAATATCCGCCTTATTCGCCAGATTTGGCAATGTGTGACTTCTGGCTCTTCAACAATTTGAAAAAAAAATCTGCGTGGTTGAAAATTTTCGTCAGAGGCATTCCAAAAACTGACTGGGTAGAAGCATTTCATTTGTGGAAGGTCGGGCTACAGAAGTGCATTGATGCTGGAGGAGAATACTTTGAACATAAATAAACTTATTTTCGAAAAATAGTTTTTAGTTTTCGTGTATCTCAAAATATATAGCCTGGTCCGCGTATAACGAAATAATTATTGATAATTGACTTATTAATATATTACCCCCAAACATGCATTGTTTGGAACAAAAATTATCAAATATAATACAGTAACATACTGGAGATAGTTCTGTTCATTTTGAAAATGATGGCTATGGTAGATAGTTACCTCGCAAATGAAATATTCAACTTGGGTTGTATAAATAACTTTCATAATTATCAATATTCTCAAGCGACTACTCATCATCATGTGTATTATTTCAGGAATTTTCATTAGTCCTAACAGAGTATAGAACACTGATCATTGAATTCCAAAAATAGACATTACTATATCAACCCCAAAAATGCATTATGTTTTTCGAACAAAGAATTATCAGACACAATACCGTCACTCGACATTCCGAAGACAGTCATATTCCTTTGACTGACTGGCTAAGTATTTCCATGAATAGGTGACTTTATGATAACAAATTCAATAGGTGGTCTCATAAGCGGAAAGAAACTGTTACAGATATCCTTTAAAACTTAAAAGATTCATAAAATCGATTTGGCACAATTTCCATACAAAATTGAAACGCAACATCTGATGCTACTAAAATATAACACATTAATTTTATCTTGCTATGTTTTTGTTGATTATTATATTATTTTTTATTAATGCATTGTTTTACGTATTTTTGGATTGGTCTGAGAACAGAACCCTGATGGACACCGGCTCTGAAAAGCGTTACTGTCGAGAAGTCATTATTTACTTTGATCTAAAATTTGCAACCTTCAAATGTTTTAAAACCTAAAACAGAAAGCCCTTTTGTATTAGCTTATAAGGAAGGTCCTTGTTCATCATCTTGTCAAATGCTTTCGAGACACCCAGAAACAGTACTTTCGTTAAGGGTGAAGCTCTACAAGCCTAACCGCCTGTAACTCCGTACCATGCTCAGTCTTCGGAGCAGATGACTGTTACCAAAAGACATTGCTTATTAAAGTATACTACCGCTTTATTGTTAGTTTCCATCAATAATTACTCACGATGACTTTATCGATATCCACAACGGATCCATTGGGGGCGATTTTCTTTGTAATCGCAGCAACGGCTCCACGAAGGAATTCCACCTTTTGATCGGCAATCTGTAGTTCTTCATGGTTTAATATCTCGCTCTTTTCAGCCCTATAAAGAATGTAAAAATTGTATTGCAGATGATTTCATGATATGCCTATTGATAATCAAATGTAGACTTCATCTAAAACTAAAAGTACGCTCGACTAGTATCATTTCCCTTGGCAAACAATGGGAACAAAACCAATGAAGGATGGTTTGTCAGTTCATTAACACGCTATGTACATTAAACGTGTACATTAGTCTACTGATTTTTACCTCTCGTCAAGCTAGTTTTTTCAATACCCGACGCGTTTTGCTATGTTATCATTTTCAGGGGAGGATTAAAACTGTCTCGCCATGTATCGTAAAAACTCTTGATGCATAGTGATGCTTCTAATGCAAAATCCGCGGTGAAGCAAGAGTAGTCGCTCATCGACTGTGGAGTCAGGGCAGGTGGATTTCTTAAATCCTATCAAGGGGAATAATACCACCTTAGTCAAACTGCAAAAGCAGGACCCCGTCCTTCTAAGCATGAGTTATCTTATTACCCCTAAATATCGCTTCAAATGCAAGTTTAATGTGGAGTATCCAAGATTTCTTCATACTCTTGTGTATCTAGAGCTTAAATTTTTACACGGCCACTGATGAACCCTAAAGTTTATAAAAAAAATATTTCATTCTGAAATGCGATTAACTCTTTATAAAGTTAGCACGCAAACTGAAGACACAATTATGTTTCAAACTGTCTTAGTCTAGTTAGTATGTAGCATGTGCTAAATGGCTGCATTATTAATGACTGCATGACTTTGTCAAATAAGTAGGTCACGTAATCCAGTTTCTTTACGAAGAAATATAATTCCCTGGACCTTTTTGCTAAAAGTATTAATATAGTTTACGTCTGTTTTCGAAATCTCGTACGATTAAAACGACTGCGAGTTCAAAATATTGGAAAATAAGCTCCAGAAAATGAAAAAACAGTAGACAAATATCAACCAATTTCAGTTTCAGTTTCAGCATAGTATCTTGTATAGTTTTCAAGACTATTCTAATTGTTTAAATAGATTTGATATGTCTCCATCGTTCGCTTGACATTTGTCAGTGTCAAGTGTAGTGGTGGTATAAATGTCCAGTAAACCTAGAGGCGTCGTAGCGTAATGGGAAAGAACGGCGATTGCTGAACAGCAGAACGTAGGTTGAAATCCACAAAGCTACTTTATGCTATTATTTTTTTTATATTTAGAGAAATAAATGTTTTTTCACATTATGTCGCACGCCATAGATAGTGTAAGTTTGTAAACAGGATACCAGCGGTAAACGTATGATAGTTTATATTTTTTTATATTACTTTGATGAAATTTCAGAAACATTATGTCGGATCATAGCTGGTAATTTTTGAAAACATATGTCTTAGATGTGTAAATTATTAACCAACAATAATGAAAGACATCCGAAATTTTGTTTGTGATAATACACTCAAGTTTTCGAAACGCCGTCAATTTAGAGGTACCTCTTGGAGCTGCAGGGGATGCTTATAAAATTAAATGAGCTAATAATAAGGCCGTTTAAAATCTGCTAATTTCATTGTCAGTTTGACAACAAAACTTTGTATTTCGAAATGTTTGAAAACTCCGAAATGCAATTCTTGACTCCACTGACAGGGCTCGAAGACAATCTGCAACGTTGCCAAGTCTTAGAATTTTACAATCATATGTATTAATTTTTTTTTTTAGCTGCTATGTACGAAGTGGCTGGTGGGGCCGCCAAACCGATCGCAGCGCGATGTAGCAGAGATGTGAAATAACTCGGTATTGGCAAGCAACAATTTGCTATATTTCATACCATTCCACACTAAAGTTGTTAAATATTTTCTTGTGAAAACGTTCAAACGCGCGAAATGGGTCTCAATACATGTTGCAGCAACATGGAAATTAGAAATAAATAGATACCTGCTGTAAAGAGGAAAAAGTATGAAACATAGCAACGGATGGTATTATATCATAGATTATGAAATTTAGCACAAAAAAACGTTAAATACAAACTATTGTGTGGTGTCAAAATACACAGTTGCAGTCCACGATACACCAAACCCAGAACATCGATGTTTTGGCAAATGAGAAGAGAGTGGGAAAAAAGAAGAGATGAAAGGTAGAGCAAAAGATGCAGCAGAAGCGTTAACACACATTAGCACGAATAAATATGTTATATCCCTGGTTTCAAAATGTGTTTTCTTCCGAATACCGAATTGAAAAGATTATGCTTGATTCTTGGACTGTCCTCAAGTTGTAAATAGTATACAACCGGGTAGAAGAGATGTTGAAATAATGATTATACCAAAACACACAGCAGGTAAAACTCAACCTCTTCGTATTTTTAGATTTAGAATAAAAAAAAGTTTCGTGGGGAAGTTTTCTAACAAAGTACTTTTACTTAATTTTTCATAATTTTTAATGACGAATCTTCTCCGTTTGGTCTCACAACTGCAAGTATGTGAAGCTTCAAACCTACCCTCTTTTGGTTCCAACTTTGAGGGGTGATTTCACCCCTTTAAAACGTGTTCCGGCAATACAGAAAATACGTGCCTCTTAGATTTTGATGTAGAATAGAGACTTACGGCTTAGGCTACGTATTTTTGGGAAACGAAAAAAAAACGTATCCTCGAATTTTTTCCTCTAAACATTTTAAAATGATAAGCATGGAAATAGGAACAATAGATTTTTTGTAATAAGAATTTGTAATTTTCAACACTTACACCTTTTATATCTCTCACCCCAATATTATAACCCCAAATGCGTCTTCTGATGTCGACAACTGTATGTATATGAAACAACCCTCTTTCGGCCCCAACTTTGGGGGTCACTGTAAAAACTTATCAAAATCGGAGACGGATAGCTGAGACGCCTTGGAGTTTACTAACTGAAACCTACGTATTTTCGAAATTCGCAAAAACAAGCATCTTCTAATTATTCTCTATTTTTAAAATTGGAATCACGGAAATAGGACCAATATTTGTTCTGCTATAAAAACTTTGTGACTTTTAGCCCTTGTAGCTACCTATATTTTTCACCCTAATAATATGACCCCAAACACGTTTTTCATTGTTGTTTATGAGGAATATTCTCCATTTAGTCCCATCCATTCATCACAACTGTAACTGTATGTGAAAGTTCAAAACTACCATTCAGTCTCAACTTTAAAAACGTTTTTCCGCTGATATAAAAAATAGGTCTCTTGGATTTTGACAATCTCATCAAAATCCGATGCGGGCACTAGAAGGTTTCCTGATTAGTCTAATATGCACCACAACCTTATCCAGAACATTCAATGGGTTTTATTTAATTTCAATGAAAAACAAGCCGAAAATAGTCGTTAAAACATCTAGTTGTCAAGAACTGATATATGCCGAGTCCCGAATAATTATGGTCACTAGAGGGCAGTGTCATTGCGCACAAAGCGAATAGCTCGTCATATAGCTACTTTTCTTGAATATTTCATTATCGGGAAAGTATTGACTTATTTCTCAATATGGGTGCATGAAGCAAATGGTTGAAATGCACATCACAAAATTTAGAGTAAACTCAAGGTGGTAAGGTCGTTGGGTTTACATAATAATTGATGTTACAGAAATTAGTATTATTTCAGTCTCATCATAGAGATATCAATGATACTACTTTATGAAATTACTAGTATCGTATAGCTTCTAACGGGTGAAGATAAAACGTCTTAGGACCATATCCACCTACAAACTCATCATAAGATGTTATAAAATGTTACGTTTTATGTCGGTAATCGAAAAATATACGTCACAATAAGCTTTAGTATTAAATATTTTTGTACCATAAAGAGAATTTGGTAATTGTGAAGCCGGGTCTTAAAAATGGAAGAATGCGGTTAATACTGCTTAAGGGAAGTGGAAATATGTTCGTTAAAAATCTGATGGAAATGTATCATTTCGTCCGATTTTGTTGAGATGCTTTCACTAAATGCTAAATATACGAATCGGCTTGTTGACATTTTTGTTGCTAATAGTAACCAATTTCTACTATCTGTGACACATACTGACTTTCTTTCGTTAACATTTATTGAGATTTGTCACACTGCTGTTCGAATGACTTGTTCCTTCGAATATGGTTATAGTTGTCAAAACAGACGCTGCGAGAATAAAATCATACGGCTATATGTTTTTTATGTTCCTATAAATGACATAACTATAATAGACGTTGCGGCATATTCAGAATAAAAGCTGGGGTATTCAACTACCTGAAGACACTGGTCAATCCGCTTAACACGTTTTTCATACTTATACAAGAAATTTCCACGATAAAATTTATCTAAATTTTCACTTTTATAGCATTAATTGTTTACGTTACACGACTGACTAAATGTTCATGCAAGTACGTAAAATTAACCCACTTTCTAATGTATATTCAAACAAGAAATTGAATTTATGGCCTCCCAAGTTGAGAGAATTATTGGTACCTATTAATCTTTCCGAAAAAGAACCATAACGGATTAAAACTCAACAGAAATGAAATATGTGATATACATATAATTTGTTTTCACACGGGTCTAAACTCAAAAATACGTGAAATATAGTTCCAGCAAGAAAGGTGCAGGTGAAACAAAAACGAAAATAGAGAAGAGAAAGTTGCTCTAGCCCAGTACTAATGGTGAGCAAAATGGCGTTAAGCAGGTTAACTCTGAACATCTTATGCAGTAGCAATAGCTTAAAAATTAAGATTTTCAAATCCAAGAGCTCCTAAATTGTCTTGACAATATTGAATTTAAAATAACAGTTTATATGTAAGGCTTATTTAGACAAATTGCCCGGTAGCCGATTTGTTAGCTACCGAACTATTTTTAGATCTAATTGAGTGGACACAAGCTGCCCCCTTCTTTATGAATATCATTTACTTAAACTACTTGCTCAACCTAGATGCCAGTATGAGACAACCATTCGGCAGCTTATGTGTCTTACACATTCTCCATATAATATTTTATATGAAGCAGTGTATCTCATACTCATAACAAGTCGAGTAATATGATAATTTCAGGGAGAGTAAATGTCACAT